TCCGTCCCTCGAAAGGGTCCACCTGCCACGTCCACCGGCGCTCCGGGTGCTCCAGGATCAGCACTGGCCGGAGCCGTCCTCCGTGGTAAACTCCAGGAACAGGCTGTGCCGGTCCCACCCGTCGACGGTCAGACCGAAGCGATCGGAGTAGTCCGCGTCGGACAGAACATCGCCCCCGAACTTCACGAACTTCACGTCGAGCCTGTCGAGGCGACCGATAGCGGGCTGCACATGGCAAGTGGCACCGAACAGGTGGTCCGCGACGAGGGACACGGTCGTAGCAGAGGAGACCCAGTTCTCGTAGGCGAGGACGCAAGTGGCGCCGGATGATGCCTCATCGGAACATCGGACGGCATCATCGAACGGCGATATGCGGACGGCGACCCAGTCCTCATTCATAGGCCTCATCATGCACACGGACCGCACCGTCATGGATGTCACGTCTTTGAGGGGGTTGCAGAAAGAACTGAGTTTGACGTGATAATCAAAAGGGGACGAGTCGCGTCCACCTACGTGTTTGTTCGAGTCCGTATCCTGCGCGCGATCGCGGCTCCTGTTGTCGATCACCACCCTATGTACACGAACCATACCACCCTCTACGCCTTATGCTAGAAAACATATCACCTGCTCTGCGCCGTCAGGCGTTTCAAGAACTCGGCCGTCGGGATCACGGTCCCTTCCCTCTGGAACCAAGCCTCCTCGCTCACTAGGGTATTCCGGGTCTCGCTGCGGCGGCCCGGTCCCTGAAACGCCAGCGAGAACTCGACGGTGCCGTGCTCCCACGGGTCTTCCGGGCTCTCGGTCTTCGTCTTGAGCATGAAGCGCAGGACGTCGTCCCAGGCGAACACCCTGTACGCCGTCGACCCAGATCTGTCGCCGCGGCTCTCGAGCGTGGCGAGATCGGGGAGGTCGTCGGTGGTGAGCTTGATCGCCGCCCTCTCGCTGCCCCCCACGAAGACCTCCATCTCCGCCTGCATGTCGTGGAAATCCGCTTCCCAAGAAACGGTCCCTTCATCCACCCGGACGCCGGACCGGGGCCCGAACCTCGTCGAGACCGCCGCCTCGAAAGGCACCCACGCTCCTTCATCGACCTCCAACCGCCCCTCTCGCTCCGTCACCACCCTGACTTCCTCGTCGATCAGAGAGCAGGGCGCACCGACCCATGCGTCGAAGACGTGGGCATGTTCGTTCCTGAAAGACGCGTACGTCACGGGGGCAGCTTTGGTAGAGCGCAGCGACATGTCCCGCGACGCCTCCCAACAAAAGCTGCACCGCTCACCGGAGAAGAGGAACGAGACGGTCGTGGACCCGACGATGGTCCCGTCGCCGGTCGTCTCCCCCCGGATGCAACACTCAGAGTCGACGACCCTTATCGGCCGCCGGGTCATGATCAGAGTGAACCTGACCTCCAGATCGTGGCACAATCGGACGATGCAACGCTCCAGGTCCTGATGCTCTGCGGACAATGCCGACTCCACGCTCCTGCACGTACCGTCGAACCGCTTCACGAGACTCTTCGACAGATCTTTCCTACGGCGCATGCGCGGAATCAGCATCCGGCACCTCCTGGATATCGACCCCAGCTCCGCCAGGCGCATCATGTCCCGACGGGGCCTCCTGGCGAAACCGGCGGCCGACTCTCGGTGGAACGATTCTCCGGGCGAGCCGACCCCTTTCTCGTCGTACAGCTCCTCGCACCTCCTCTCGAAGTCGAAAAACCTTGCGGCGCCGACTATCTCAGAGTCCTCGCTGTCCCGCCTAGAGAGATATCTGCGAGCGTGGTTCTCCTGCCAGACCTGGTCGTCGAGGGGACTGACGCGAACGGGAAGAGTGCCGGGATAGGTCACGGCGGCGATCAGGCTGACTAGGTCTTCCGGGTCGACCTTCGAGATGACGACGCACCGCA